TTGGCGCAGGCATCAAACGGAGGACGCAATATGCTCTCGAAGCGGATGCTTATGCAAATATGAACAACACATGCCGACGATGCCTTCAGTTCGGTACGAGGACGCCCATTCGAATGGCTCCATTGGAAACCATATCCTGCGAACGGGTCAGGCCCAGATTACCAGATGCATTTCCCAAGGGAGTCCGAGTTGTGACTGCAAATTATATTATTCTAAATCCAGGGGAGTCGATGGTGAGATTGGAAATGGAGCACCACGACCTTTTAGAAATGTTTCCCAGAATTGCAGCTCAGCACAGATTTAAAACGTTGATTGGTTAAAAATTTATGATAAAGGGAAGCGTGAAATCAATGACCCCGAAATACATTTTAATAATTAACATTTTGATTATATTAATCTACTGGTATAGTAACCATTTCTCTTTGTACATTTTCTGTAGTCTTCAATCAATTATAACATACAAGCTTAATGGTTTCTTGCTTTAAAGTCATTTCACTAATTTCTTTCAAAAAATCGAATTTATTAGATGCCATTGGACGGCCTTTTTTCGTCTGTCGCAAAGACTCCCATGGCAATCCAATTAGATTAATGCAAGGCAATATAAACAATTATGACTCCCATGATTACTTTTCAACGGCTGACGACACGCGGCATGTCCCCCGATCACCCCCCTCATCCCCTTACCACCCCCTCGACCATAAATCAACAGTGTTGTGTGTCCAAATATGAATTTAATTAAAGGTCTCTTTATGACAACAAGCGCCGTCTGGGTCGTGTGCTCGGGTCCACTTTAAAATATTACCAATATTGTCAGCCTCTGGTGTGACCTCCGCCCCCTCCCACCTTCCCATGCATTAGGCTTATTAGAAGGACACGCGTTCCTTTTTGGCTAGGGGCAATGTGCAGCGCATGCAACTTTCGGTTGTCAAGGTTGGTTGCCGGCTGTCACTGGAGAAGGATGGGTAGTCGTCCTTCCCACCCCAGGACTCACTTTATTTGCCGCAAACAGTTCACGCATCAAAGAACCTGCAACGCATCCTTCAGATTGGTGGTTGCTACTAGTAATTCCCGATTCTAAGAGTATATTTACACAGGGGAAAATATGATGTATAATCTACGAGTATTTGATTTGATTTTGTTAACTTAAGAAAAGCAAAGGGATTTAAATATAAATATAATTTTAATTATAAATATAATATTCAAAGTTTTTATTTTCTTTTTTTAATTTGTTCTTGGTACAGCTATGTTTTTATCTGTGTATTTTCTAGAAGTTGGTCCAGACAGGTCTAGTCCGGCATCTTTTGATGATGTTCCTCCTTGGGACATAATACCGTTACCGTTCCAGTTGATGCATGCAAATCCAGATTATGCACAGGACACGCGTCACTAGGCATCACCCCTCTCCCCTCCTCCTTCAGCCCTCTGGTGATTCATATCCTTCTGGGCGTCACGTGCTCCTGCGACAATATGGCAACAAACGTTTGATTGTCAGGGTTACCAATATGCGTGGTGGATTTCCTTTTTTACGCATCCATTGCGACACGAGCTTCCCCCGGAATTTATTGGCGGGGAATGCCTACTCGGCAGATCTACTTCCTTATACTTTCTATAAACAGAAATGGCAACTGACTGTTGCTATTAGATTTAAATCCGATTTTGAAGATACTGTTCCGAATTCGAGTTCAGTAACTCGGCTTGAAGTTGTACAATTCGATTCGTGTGTATTTATACTTCAAGTTAATATGGTATAATGCTAAGAAGTTGTTCATATAAAATATTCCCAATAATGAGATATTATTATTAATTAAAAAACAAAGCAAACAAATGTGTAAGCATCCATTGAAATATTAAAAATATCTGAAAGCCAACGTAATTTTGTTTAAAATCAATCAAACTCAGTAAATATAAACTGCATCCTGCGAACTTAATAAATGGCCAGTAGACAATATTCATTGTCCAAGTATTATGGGGAGGAATTTAATAATCTTATCTATTCGGCACTCAGACGGTTGACAACTCTCTTCGGTCACACCTTCGCATTGATGGCTGTCAACTCTGGACAACGAGCACTTGCCCTTTGTTTATGCAAAGCTTGAAAACGCTTGCAAATTATAAATCAAAAGTGACTTTTAATTAAAAGTTCAAGCCTCTGCGGTGAGACAGGGGTGCTGGGAATGGCCGGGGCCAAGATGCTGACGCCAAATGTCGTTCGTCCGCTGGCTTAATTTTGTTTTGCCAGCGCACCCTCATAAATCACAAAAAGAGCAAAAGTCAGAGGGACGAGGGTTGAAGTCGGCCCAGACTGCCAGTTTATTAATTGAAGGTGCAAATGCGACGCACTCGCACCCCCGAAAAACCAGAAAAAGACAGCGGCTGGAAAACGGGAAAACAATAAAGGATGAGGACTACACGGAGTCCTGGACCGAATGCAAAATACGCAACAGTTTCATTTTGAGCTGGAGTTTTTCATGTTCGCCAAGGGAATCGCCGCCACAAAGGAGCGGAAGTCTCGATTGCAGTCGTCGGAACATAAAACCCACTTGCCCACATTTTTACCCCTCAGGGGATGTTTTGCCAAACAGTTGTCTTGGCAGCGCTCTGCTTTCCTTTTCGATGGTGGTGTCAAGTTCTTTTTGCGCCGTCAAGTTGAATTATCATAAGTAATAATCATAGCCCAAGTATCCGGATGAGGACAAGGTGCACCGAGGGGAGGGGTTTGTTTATTATGTTTTTCCTGCGCGGGTATGGGGTTCCATCATTGGGGAGTTTTTTAGCGAGTCGCTTGGTTAATTGCGCGACTCTTGGGTCTTTATTGGGATTCATAGCCAATCTGGGGTAGCTGGATTGTCACTGGGATTAGCAGGGAACTCCCCGCGATTTTCGATAATTAACTGGGGGTTATGAGCTGTATCTCCATTACTCCAAGACAACTAAACGGGTGATCTCTGGCAGACATGCACATAACACTCGAGGGAGTGTTAACCAGTGCTTGGAACAGACAAATCGGACCACGCCCACAATCCCAAGTGGGCGGATGGATCCCAGAAAAGAGGAACTCAGGGTTACAAGGACATAGCGAGAGTTGCCAAAGCCAAACACCACAGCAATTGAATGTCAGTCACAAAAATGCAATCACAGTTTGACACAATTTTACCGAGGCGCCACTTCAACACGTTGCAACTGCAATATCTTTACTGTTACAAAAGCCAACCCACACAGATACTCAAACACACACACACACACGAACGACAACTCTGCAAACAACACAATGACAACTCTTTAACACAGTTAACTTGGCAGCGCTGCAACGACAATCGATGTGCTGCCGATGCAGAGTTATCCATTTGTAAGTTCCCTATAAATAATGAAGAATGTCAAACAAAAAAAACGCGATAATGTTATCAGAAGATCACTGAGTAAAAAAACAATTTTTACAGCCTCATAAATCACGAAAAGTTTTATCTCTAAAACATAAAAAAAGTTTGGAAGTGTGATATTAATAAAAAAAAGTGCAGTTGAAACAACCCAGTTAGTCTATACTAAAATTTAATACAACAATAAAAGTAATTATTAATTAATTCTATAAAAAGTACTGGTAAGGTTACAAATAAATCTTTAACAAAAAAAAAATGCTCAATAAAGCACTTTCCAATAAAAAAAAATATCATCAGCATAGCATGATAATGCAAAACTATTTTATCAGGCTGACCGCTTCCAGCTGAATTTTAATGATTCACACCTGTTTTATTGCTTAAGGTTTTATTGGCCGGCGTTGATATTAACGATAATGATTAGGACGCTTTTGATAACTGATTATAGCAAGGGATTCGGGGAATCGAATCTCTGACCGATTGCAATATCTCTTTTATCTTATCAATTGACGGGTGCTCTTGTAATATAGAATTAAATAAGGGTATCAAAAAGGCCCATTTATAATACTGATATGCAATCTTCAGGCATTCACTTTTGTGTTGCAATTTTCCTTGTTCGACTACTTATCCCAGGGTATGATGAGTTTCTATATTGCCAGATAATTCTTGGATCCTTGGATGCGCGTGCTCGAGTGCATTTACTCACACACACACACACTTGCACAAATACAAACAGATGCCGTTGCCATTTTTGCCTTTTTGTTGTTGTTTGATTGCGTTTTTATCTTCGTCAGTTCAGCAGTCCTGAATCTGGAAAACAGGACGAATCGCAAGTGCAGAGGATGTGCAACTGCAAATGTGAAAGGAAAGGGGCTGCTGCGATATTTTACTGCGACAACATTTCATCGCAAACATTGTGCAATTTCACTTTAAGCGACAATCGAATTTCATGTGAATTTTACAAGCAGTTCTCCTTGTTGTTCGCCAAACTTTTGCCTTTTCCTCGGAACACGCAATCCGATTTTGGCTTTCCGTTCTTGGAGAACAATTTTGTGGTAAGTTTATAGCTTAAGAAGTACCAAGGCGGACCTGATTTTCTATAGCTCTACTTTTTCATCAAAGAACAATACCGCTTTATACTTTACAGCTATTTGTAAACTATAAATCGTCGTACTGCTTTTTTCTTCCAATAATTTATTTATCTCAAATGTGTACACTAAAAATTGGCGTATAATCTTAAATATTTTGGTTGTCTTGGAATTTTTATGGCGAGGGCCATTAGGCAAAAATGTATTCATAAAAAAAGCCTTTGTAAAGTCAAGCTACAAAAATTATTACCGTATCAGTAATTTGCAACATAGCTCAGAGTAGTATTTTTTTTATCTTAGGATAATAAATATTTTATATAGATTGTGACAGAACCGAGTAAATATCGTTAAGATTCGCAGAATGGAATACAAATAAGTCTGCCTGTAAATTTTCCATAAGAAGTGTTTATATACTTATTAGGTTGTTCTGAGTTATTAAATATTTATTCAATGATACAAAACATTTCATAATAGGAGAATAAAAAGCGTGGGATTGGTTAGTTAGCTCTTTAGTTGTCTAAAGGTAAAGGACGAGGACGGATCGAAATGGCCCACCAATTTATTTGGACTCTTTTACTCGTCCTCTACTTCTTTATGAGTCCACTTGTCGAGGCCAGTGGGATTAACATTCCGAGGCTACCGGAAAACTTACAAGATTTTAAGTGTGAAGAAGATGACATTGGTTTTCATTTTAACCTGACAGAGGTGGGAACCTAAAACCGATAGACAATCATATTTGGTTTCAAGCTAAATTTAAAAATATTTGCCTAAGTATATAAATTCTAATTATTTTAGCTCGCTGGTTATTGGTACGAGGCCCTTCGAATTCCAAATGACCAGTCGATGGAGTGCCTGAATGTCTCGATTCCCTCTGAACCGAAAGCCAACAATCTTACTCTGGACCTAAGCTACGTTCGCACAGTGAACAATAGTTGGGAATTATCCCAGGAGGTCGTCAGCTTTCCCTGGACCAACTCCACGCAGTATGGCATATTCGATCTGGGCACCGAAAGCGTTTCCTACAAACTGGTGACTACGGACTACGTTTCCATCTCCGTGGTTTGCGGTTATGGCAGCACCTCGGTCATTCCGATCTTCAAGCTTTTCTCCCGAACCCGAGAGGTTAGCCAGGAACTCTACGAGCTTATCAATACGCAGGCCGAGGTACTGGGATACTCGTCTCTGATTTCCTGGGAGAAGCAATCGCTGGAGGAGTGTGGTGGATCTAGTGGGCAAGCACCCTTAGCAGCTTTAATGAGTTTCGTGGCATTTAGTGGATTGATATTGAGGTTTACATAGTTAATTAAGTGTTTAAAACTGCAAAGTTGGCTTTTAAATTTACTAAATGATGTGCTTCACCTTACCATCGAAAATCAGTAATATTAAACAACTCTAGTAATAAAAATGTGCAAAATATAAAAAAAAAACCATAGGCCCTTCTGCAGTGGCTAGAAACACACAAATTCAGAAACCATTGTCCATTCAAATTGATAAGATATTCCGATAGAAGGGTAAGCCGTATCAGCGAAAGTGAGTCATAGCAAATTAAAGTAAAATGCTTATTTTCTATGTCGGCAGAGTTGATAAGCACGTCATAGGGGAACCGGCAGCTTGTGAGGGATTGGCACAGCGTTTAGTTCTCTGTAGGTTGGCATCGCGAACGGATCGAAATGCAGGCTCAAACATATATTTTCACGACTCTGCTCGTTCTCTTCTGCTGCGGAAATCCTTTGAAGGTCGAGTCCAGTCGCATGAGTTGGCCAAAAATGCCGAAAGCACTTGGCAACTTCAACTGTCGGAACGACAGCATCGGATTAGCCTTTAACTTGACAGAAGTGAGTAAAAAACATATTTAAATGTATCAAAAAAACCTCAATTTAAGTCTAAAATTTTCTCAAGTACTCTTAAAGAATACTTTCTCAATATTTTTGTTTTCAATTATTTGTTTAGTGTAATGTATATTCGGAATTAAAACTATCTCTAGGGCTACTGATTGGTATATATAAAATTTAACTGATAACTGATTTTTTCAGCTTTCTGGATATTGGTATGAAGCTGCCCGAGTGCCGAATGTCCAGGTGTTGGAGTGTCTGAATGTGTCAGTTCCCGCGGAGACCGATAACAACACTCTTTCGCTGGACTTGAACTTCATCAGCACGGTTAACAACGACTGGCAGTTCACCAAAGAGTCTGTCAACTTTCCCTGGGACAACAAAACCCAATTCGGAGTCTTTGAACTAAAGTACGATATGGTCACTGTGACTTACAAGTTGGTGGGCACTGACTACAAAAACTACGCCGTTATCTGCGGATTCGGAAGCATCTCCCCCGTTCCGCTCTTCAAACTATTCACTCGGCAGCGGGAGATTGACCAGAAATATATCGACTTAGTTCAGGCGATGGCCGAACAAATGGGGGTTTCTGCCCATATTGCGTGGGACAAACAGTCTCCGGATGAGTGCAATGGATCCGGTGGTCGAGCTCCTCTGGCAATTCTGATGGGTTTCATCACAATGCTCTGGGGTTTCACCATGGCAAAGCGAATTTGTACCTAGGCTTTATTATTTGCCTAGAGAGTACTCAATTTTTCGCCACAACTATCAGTACAAAGTCTTATCAATGCTGTCTGTTTTATTCTAAACGAACTTTATTTTATTTGGGGTCATCTAAAAAGATTGTTTACTTTTGTTATCTTTATAAGTCTAGCAAATTATGATGTTATTAGAGGCGTAATTACAAATAAATATAATTCTATTATATGAGGCATTACCTGATATTATTCCTTATACGTAATGTTACGCTACATTTTTTTGTTTAAATCTTATATTTTGAGCTTGAAACTACTTTCCGTTATCACTTTCATCTAGCTTATCTAGGTTTAGTTTTCCATTCTCTTAGTGGTTTTAGGTTCCTCTCTTCGGGCCGATAAGCGATTTGTATTCCGATTAAATCATGCAAACGCATTTGAGCGAAATGTGCGGATGGAAGTTCATTTTTCGATGCTTTTTCGAGGCAGATGGAAAGGGTGCATCGAGGAAAAGTGCCCCAGTAAGCTCATGCAAGTGCAATTACGAAGCCCGAAATTCCAAAGGAAAATACTGTAAAATATGAACGGAGCTGGGGGCAAAGAATTTAGTCGGTTGCTCGATTTTCTTGGCTATTTTCATTTTCATAAACCCCAATCGCCCAAGAGGGTGGAAACTAAAGCGAATCGAAAATGCTTTAAGTAGAGATCGAACGAACTCTTAGCTTCACTGCGAGAATTTAAACTACATTCAAACCAATTCTTTGATTTATTTTAAAGGAAAGTTTAACATGTGCCAATATATAAATATTTACCTATTCATAAACAACCGTCAAGTATTTCGTACTTTAAAAATATACCCACTCTTTTCACTGACAAGTTTTAAACTATTCTTTGAAACCTGTAAAACTTTTGAGAACTAAAGTAGCTTTCCATTTGAAAAAACTTACAAAAGGAAAACCATTTTTCCCTCTGTGGCATTTGGCTCTCAAATGCCCCCGTTCTTGGGCGAATCAATGAAGTGCAAACCGTGGTCAAATGAGCCGGAGTCCGGGGTCCGGGTTGAGGGATCCTGGGAAAGCATCGATGGCCGGGCACTTTCATTGATTTGATGCGTTTGCGTGCCGCTTGCGGTGGTTGCATGCTTGACTTGAGCGCCACCCGAAGCCAACTGAAATCGAGGAGCTGCAAAGCTGTTTACTTGCAGCTAACCAAGTGAAATTGAAAGCTCTTTTGGTCCCGATAATTGTGTCCGGTCCTGCCACCGATTCCGTTCTGCTCCTCATCCTGGCCAAAATGCCAGCCTGGGCGGGTAATGGGATACGGCAAGACTGGGATTGGGACTGGGATTGGGATTGCGACTGGAATTGGGGTTGTGTGTTCGTGCACCACATGATTACTCGGCCCCGAAATCGACGTAATCATGCGATGACGCTGCAAAAGCATCCGCAGACTGGTCGGACCACGCCCACAAAGGGCACACAAAACATAGTGGAAGAAACGGAAAATAAGTCGAGGGAAAGCCAGCCGAAAACGAAAGTTAATGTGCCACATCGGTGGAAGGGTTAAACGGAGCCAACAAGTGAACCCTCAGCAGCGTACGTGTTCCAATTAATTTTGACATTTGCTCTTAATAGATGTGCAACAAGGTTTCGATTTCGATTGAGTTACGCCCTGGAATTGTGTTCATAAATAAGGTTCTCCTTCTCGCCCTTCAATGGATTAATAGATGTTCGAGGAAAATCTGGTTAGAATGCGTAATAAAAATGGTTAACCATTTTGCTGCCTAGTTTGAGAATAGAAATAATGAGAATTCCTAAAATATTTTATGAAGAAGAAGGCTTTCCCTTTTTATAGAGATAAGTTGACTGCCATACGAACAACATTTCTGTTGATATTTTTCGAAAAAAGTAAAACTTTTAATTAATTTTAAATTATTTATGTACTTTGAAACCCTATAAAAAAGTCAGCTTGTATATTATCTCGAGATAGTTTCCAGCCAACACAATCCGCCAGTCATTAGGATGAACCCCCAAAAGACTCACAATTTATGCTCTGCACCACGAACTGCTCAAAAATGCAACTATTCAAAATGCAGCGAAAAAATCTGGCCAAACTTTGCGCATGCTGCACACAATCAGAACCGAAAGGGGAAACTAAAAGCGGGCAAAGGAGCCTCCAACAAGGAGGCAGAGCCCAAAAAAAAACAAAGCCTGCTGCACAAACATGCGAAACTATTAAAAACATGTCTTTGTCCTTTGGCCCAGGGTGCATATAATGAAATTCCTAGCTGCTTTGTGCCCACGACGAAGCCACTTGGCGAGATATCCCGATCCCTGATCCATCCCACCGTCCTCCTATATATATATGTATATATATACACCCCCGCCGGTTTTTTGCAGTATCAATCTAGGTGAAATATTAACAAGCGGGAGTCGGGACTAAAGTTGGCGCGACGGAAAGACGAAAGACAGAAGGACGACGGCAAGGCAGCTCATAAAAATTCCTTAGTTGACGACAAAAGCTCAGGAAGGCGAGTTAGGGGCTGTGAAGAGCTTAAAGCGAGCCAAACAGCGCTGAAACAATAGACTCGAGTTAACTTAAATTGATTCCCAGACGTTCCCGGCGAAATGAATCTCAACTCAGCCCGCGCTTCGCCATTTTGTTGTGACTCCAAAGTTACTGCCACACTCTCTTTCCCTTCCCGAAATCCTTGCACCTTGATTGCAAGTTATTTGCAATTTTGTGCAAATTTAAAAGGAGGAAAAGGGACAAAAACGAAGGAAACTCCAGCCAGACGACCCCCAACTTCCAGACGGTGACTTTGGCACTGCACTTGAAAATTTTTTAAGTGTGCGCGAAATTTTTTATGCAATTTGTGCCGGAAAAGCGGGTGGTGAAAATCCCAAAGGAGCAGAGCGAGTGGGCCACTGTTGTGCCCTGAAGTTCGGAGAACTCCTCCTCCGGCTGCTCAATTTGCTGGTTTATTTTTGCATTCGGGATATTAAAATTGACACTTCATTTGTGTCACTCACTGTGGCAGCGAAGTTTAAGGGATTTTAACTGATTTTCAAGCGGCTGCATTGTTGTCGATTGTGCAGCAATTTGCATTGCTGGAATCAGGAAACAGGAGTCGTTGTTGTGGTTGCGGATTTGACTTAAGCTGTGTTGAGTGCTCCCATCGCAGAGTGTTAAATTGGGCATTTTAATGGATGTTGTCGTTGGGTAAAGCATTAAAAATCTGTTGCCGAACTCCGATTTGTTGGTAACTTGTTGTTAGATGGGTAGATGAATTTTGTATGCATTGAAACACTTTGTTTGTTATGTATTTTATAAACAAATATCGTTTCCTTTTTGAAAGGATTTAGTATAGAACTTCCTTACTTATTTTAAGATTCAAACACATTGCAAAATCTTCTGGAAATCACAATCATTTCAGTTATACTTTTCACCCAAAGAAAATCCTTGAAGTTCACCCACCTCACAAGGTGATGCCAGTCTACCCCTGCTTGTTGGGTTTATTTACTGCAATCCTCGCCAGCTCAGCCTGAAGGACCAGGCCCGGCAAGATTTCATTAAGTGCCGGCCGTGGAAGTCCTGCCGCGTTCCTTCTGCCCCGTAAAATGCAACAAAGGAGCTGCAACAATGGCCGACCAACGGCAAGGTTGCACTTGAAGTCATTCAGCCTCGTACTGGCAGTGCAAACTTTTTAAGTGAATTTTTGATTAGATCTGGACGAAACTTTTTTGTCGCACAGCCCAGGAAATGGAGGAGCAAAAGGAGGAGTAGGAGGGGGAGGAGGAGCGGAGACGGTCATAGATATAGTTGCCTTTCCAACTTAAAGTCACCAGTTAGTTGCGCTCTTTTGTAATTTGCGCAGAAGTATATTTATTTGTGCGAAAGGATAATAATAAAATATGCGCTCCAGATAGTGTTGCACCAGTATTGCAAACTTGTCCCTGCTCCAATGTCGGACCTCGTCCTTTCCCCCTTTGCCCCTTGAATCCTTGGTCCTCGAAGAGCCAACGAAACTGTACCTACTGCAACTTTTCGCGAACAGTTCCCAGTCTGTCTGGCCCCCTCTTCCCCCTTCAATCCCCGCCATCCACCCAAATTGCATCGCTGAAGTTTTGCGCAAAAGTTAATAAAATTATTTGCCACAGACGTTGATAAATATGAAACAAGTCTCTGGCAAATGGCAAATAAATACAGAAATACCAACACGGAGGAGGCGCAGAAAGGTCAGGAGCTTTGTCTCCGATATGAAATATTTGGAAAAGTTTTATTGCAATTTTAGAGCAGGTCGCTTTAAGTAATTGCCGTGTGGCGAGGATTTATATGATAAAAACGGAGATCTACCTGAGAAAGTTTTAATCGAATAAAGAGAAAACATTTAAAATAATTAAATAAACGCTACTTATAGGTATGTATCTATCAATAGTACCTTAAAATGCAAACTGTAATCGTTTCGCAAAAATAAATATTATCCGCTCCCCACAACTTCAGCTTCTACCCTCAATCATCCGCATTTTAAAAAGATTTTTTCAGGAGAATATCAAATAATCAAAAAAAGGAAGCAAATCTTTAAATTGCAAACCAACCTCCGCTCAACCCTTCCAGGATTTCCATGGGTTCATCCTTTTTTACTAGCATATGCATTCGGTGTAGTTATTATTCATTGTCGTGCTTCAGCAAATATCAAATGGAGTCCGGCGAGTGGCTGCCGGGGATTCCTTGCTCCTTGCTCTTTCCGCTTCGCTATCCGCCGTATTTTGTTTTCCCCGTTACTTACATTTTGCACATATGAGCTGGGCGGGGTGGTTTGCCGAGGGAGGGGGTGTGGTTGCTTTATTGGCAACCCCATAACGACATTGGCAAAAAGAAAGAGAGTAGATTTTTAATCGAAACATTTGTAGCGTGAAATTGTCGTTATGTTTGTCCTCCTTTTTTAAGCAGCAATATGTTAGGATTTAAATGTGTGCACAAAAAAATGTATCGGGTATTGATTGGTTTCTGCTTTTCACAAAATTTCAATAAATTTGCAACTTTGTCGAGCTGCGAAATTTGCTGATGTGTGACATTGATACGCCGGCGAAGGGCGAAAACAGTCATTAGCCGGTCATTAATCATAATTAAGAGGGATCTGGCTCAACCCGCTCTGCCTCCGGATTTCTTTAATTTGTTTGCCAACTTTAAGAGCTAGACGAATCGAACTGCCGGCCATAAATCTCAATTTTCCACA